CTCCCTCTGGTTTGTCTAATGAGGGATCTAATGGATAATGTGTCCTGGGCACTACCCTGATGGTGTTGCTGGGTTACTCTAATGCCCTGTATATTTGTGGTCGTGGGCCCCAGAGCATTGGCCCCCCTGTCCATTTTTTGTCAATGGAGCCCAATGTTTTTCTCCACAATATCGTGGGTAAACACCTGGTCCTTGTCCGTTTTTTGATAACGGAGTACCCTCTATAGTGATTTGAGAATGGCATTCATTAGCCCAATGTCTCCCTCTATGGCATCGTGGGCAAATACCCGGTATTCTACCCCTTTGATACTTAGTTTTGTTAAACCCTCCTCCTATGGGGCAACTCCTTTTAAAATGTCCTGTTTGTTCACAAATGTAGCATGTTTTTGGCCTGGCACCTAAAGCCTGTTGTACTGCAGCTGCCAAGACTTGCCCTTGTTCATTAATGTCTCTGTGTAATTTAATATATGTGTTTAAATCTCCATGTTTCCATGGTCTAATGGCCTCCCTGCACCATCTGTTTGCTTGTTCATAGGCTAGTTGTTTTATTAATGGCATCGCTTGTTCTACATCCCCGAAGATTCTGGTAGCTGTTTGTATAAGCCTATCTACAAATTCAGTGTAAGGTTCATTAGCTCCTTTATTACCTTAGATAATTGACCTTGTAAATCTCCATGCCCCTGTAAAGTTTTTCATGCCCTAACCGCAGCTGAAGCGATTTGTGAGCATATGGCAGGATCATATCTAATTTGTTGCAGCTGACCCTCATAAGGTCCCTTTCCTAACAACATATCTAGATTTCTCTGAGGATAACTGGCTGCTGCATTTTGCCTAGCCGTCTCCATGCAAAATTCCTGATTGGCAACCTTCCATAACAGATATTGTCCTCCATTTAGCACAGCTTTGCACATACTAGCCCAATCTGCTGGCGTCATGTTCAAGTTGGTAACGGATTCGACCACACTTTCAGTGAAGGGCGCTTGAGGACCATAGGTTGTTACAGCCTCTTTCAGCTGCTTCACTGTTTTGAAATCTAAAGCATGGTGAACTCGCTGCCCTCCTGCCTCCTCAAACACAGGGCATGCTAATCTTTGAGGTCCTGTCTCAGGATCCCATCTATCAACTACGGGGGTTGAGGGCCACTCAGCATATGTTGTCTCCATAGGTGGAGCTGTTGGTTGAATTACACCCTCTAGTGATAGAATGGTGTTAGTAGCAGCCTCCTGTTGTAACTTCTCCCTTAATAGCTTTTTCTCCTCTAAACTTTCTTCCCCTTTCTGACTATCTCGAGAGGCCTCCTCTTTTTCCTGATCTAATATGTCTTCTACCATAATCTGAACTGAAATCTTTGGACTAGGCAAACAAAATTGTATCATCATCCATAATGGCAATGTGCCAACTGGCAAAGTTCCTGGGTTTTTCTTTTCCCTGTTCCTTAAATCTTCACCATGATGGTCCCATTGTGATATATTCAACAACTCCTCCTTAAAAAGCCATGGGCTACATTTTTGTATCATATCAACGTATGCCCTAACTGTTCTTGGTTTTACTGGGGTGCCTCCTTCCTCTAGCAATTTACTTAACACTCTTTCAGTTTCAGTTTGTTTTTTGCTAATTTCTGACCCCATATTTCTGCTACAAAGATAACGCAACCCAACAAGATAACACAAAACAAATCCGAAACAGAATGAAACAAAAACAGAACAAAAATGCATTGTATCAATTTTCCTATTTTCTTGAAATGTATATCTGTGGTCTATCTCTATCTCTTCCTCAGGACCGAACAACTTTTCTAGCATCCTATTTATTTCTAGGGGCAGGCAGCTTGAAACAGAAACGTAACAAATCAAAACAAGAACACATTGTTTTTTGAAATGGTCACTCATTCTATCGCCCTGCCCTCAGGGGCAAGCAGTTTCACTTACCCCCAAGCTTCAGGCGTTCCCCGGGCGGGCCACCAAATGCTGCAGTCTGGCTGGGCACAAATAACTGGGAGGTCGAGCCACTTGTAGATTCAAGCAGGAACGAACTTTATTTTCGAACTCATGCAAACGTCACCCACGCGACCCTCCAGGAAATCCCCGTGAGCTCAACTGGAACTCAACCAACCTACGCAAACTCTCTAGGAACTCCGTGAGAACTCAAAAATAGCGGGCACCTGAGGCAGCAGGAACCGCCCCTTCTGGCAAAATGCCATGCACCATCTTGACCTGGCCATGGCTCTCAACAGATGGCCTCCTCCCACAGATCACCAGGAACACACTTGGAGTTGAACAAATTGGGTTTATTACTCATTGCAGAGAGGGAGAACATGCATTAGGAGGAACCACCATACATGAGGTATCTCAGTAAAAAAAAAAAAAAATAGAAGCAATGATAGAATTGGGGCTATAATTGATCTTGGACTTTGGTTAGATGATTTGGGGGAGGGTCAAAGAAAATGAGGGCTTGCTATGGATAATATATTCTTAGAGAATGGAGTCAATTCTATGAGTTTGTGAATAAATTGTAATCTGAAGTGAGGATAATCTAGAAGAGGGTAAAGCTAATAAAGTTGTGATCAGTCATTTCAACCAAGATAAGAAGTGTTGGTGTTTTCTGGGTCCCACAGTGACCTTGTTTTTGTCTATTTTTAGACAAAACTGTAAAATAGCTTTGCTTTCTCTCATTCTAGCATGTCTGAAGTTGATCTTCTATGAGATTGTGTATATCCAACAGGAGCTAATATGGCCCAGCTATGAGTGTGGGGCCAGCTTTCAACTCCTAGGGGCTACTTTGTTTTCATCTCTCTCAGGTGGCAGTCGAAGAGTTAGAAAAAATATAAATTCAAGAGATGTTTAGCAGCCAGGGATGTAGTTCAGTGCTAGAGCACTTGCCTAACATATCCGAGGTCCTGAGGTCAATCCCCAGCATGGGGGTGGGGGTGGGGGATGAAAAGAAAAATTTAGAAGACAAAGTCTACATGATTGGATGTTGGGGCAGAGGTTGATGTCAGAAGTGATCTCTAGGTTTCTGTATTGCAATGCCACTCATTAAAATAGTACTAGTTTTATGTTGTCTTCTAATTTAATTCTTACCAAAATTATGTGAAATATTACCATTTTCATACCAATATTATAGATGGTAAATTGAAATTTTATAGATATTAAATATCTTGCCCATTGTCACATAGAACTAGAACTCAAATTCATGTTTCCCTGACTCCAAAGTCATACTTTAAGAAAAAAGATTAAGATAAAATTCCACTATCTAATTCCATTACATAATTTTTGTCATTCCCAAATAAATATACATTAAATAGGCATTTTTCATACCCTCATCCTCATCCCTGGAAACCAGTAATTCTTTCTGTCTGTATGGATTTATCCATTCTAGACATTTCATGTAAATGGAAGTATACAATATGTGGCCTTTTGTATCTGATTTGTTTCACATAGTGCAATGGTTTCAAGGTTCATTCATGTTGTCCTGTGTATCAGTACTTAAATCCTTATTATGTATAGATAAGGATATTTTATAGATGAACCATGCTTTCTCCTACCCCCCAGTACTGGGGATTGAACCCAGGGCATTGCTCATGCTAGGCAAGTGCTCTGTCATTGAGTTAGACCCCCAGCTGGTTTTAAATTTTTATTTTGAGACAGGGTCTGCTAATATGCCCAGGCTGGTCAAGAATTTTTTTTAGGTGTCATTTTTTTGGGGGGTGGGGGTGGGCAGGGGATGCTGGGGATTGAACTTGGGGGCACTCGACCACTGAGCCACATCTCCAGCAGTGTTTTGTATTTTTAGTTAGAGACAAGGTCTCACTGAGTTGCTTAATGTCTCACTTTTGCTGAGGCTGGTTTTGATCCTCCTGCCTCAGCCTCCCAAGCCGCTGGGATCGCAGGTGTGCGCCACTATACCTGGGTGATCACAAACTATTGATCCTCCTCCCTCAGCCTCCTGAGTACCTGATATTATAGGAATGCACCACTTCTTCCAGCTATACCATGCTTTTAAAATCTTTTCTTCAACTGATGGACATTTGAACATGTCCCCTTGAATAATGCTGTTTTGAACATTTATACACACGTTTTGTTTTGTTTGGTGGTGCTAGGGCTAGAACACAGGACCTTGTGCATGCTATGCAAGCACTGTATCACTCAGCTATATACCCCATCTCTTTTGTACAAATTTTGTTTGTATGTTCCTAATTCTTTTAAAAACTCAAGAGTGCAGTTAAGTCACACAGTAATTCTGTCTTTAACTTCTTGGGAATTATTGCTCTTGTCCACAGTAGTTATAATATTTTTCATTTTCACTAGCCATGGATGTATAAGTGTTCCAATTTCTCCACAACCTGGCAAGAACTAGTTGTTATTGTTTTGCTGTTGTTGTTAGCTATGCAAGTGGGCAAGAAACTGTTGATTAATCCAAAATCATGAAGATTTACCCTTTTGCTCCTTTTCTTCCCCACCCCCACACCCTGGACTGGAGATTGAGCCCAAGGGCACGATACCATTGAGCTACATCCCCTTCCCTTTTTATTTTCTATTCTGAAACAGGTTCTCACTAAGTTGTCCTGGCTGGCCTTGAACTTGCTATCTTCCCACCCAATCCTCCTGAATCACAGGGATTACAGACACTCACCATCATTCCCACTTTTGTTGTCTTTTAGGAGTTTATAGTTTTACCTTTAAGGATTTGATAAATGTTGAGGTAATCTTCATATATGGTGTGACAGATGTACAAAGTCCTTTGACACATGATGTCCAGTTTCCCAGCACCATTTGTTGTAAGATCAGTCTTTCCTCACTAAATGATCTTTTCACTCTTGACAGAAATCAGTAGATCATAAATATATAGCTTAATTTATGGACTCTGAAGTCTATTCCATCATGCTGACTTTGAGTTTTAACATTTTATACATCACTTTTGTAATTATTGTATTCAGCAATTCATCTCTAAAACTTCCAAAATTATTTTATATACTCCGTTGGTTGAAAATGAGCAAGAATCAATTCGCCGTGGAAGAATTTACTAAAAACCAAGAGAATGGCTTCATAGAAGTATTATCACAGTGTTAGACTATGTTACAATTAAATACTTTACTATTGGAATAATTTCTAAAATTATAAATTGAGTTTGGGGGTAGCTCAGTGATAAAGTGTTTGCCTAGCATGTTCAAGGCCCAGTGTTCAATCCCCAGTACCTCCAAAATTGATTAATTAATTAAAGTTACAAATTTATGAGACTTCAGGAACCAATTTCAACATTTCAGAAAAGAAAATTATGATAACAGAATATCACTAGACACTTTGTAGCATAATATAAAAATGAATGAATACATGAAGTAGTGACTTTTATTATTTAACCTTTCACAAACTTATATACAATAAGATTAAAATAGCTAGCATGGTGACACACTCCTGTACTCCCCATTATTTGGGAGGTTGAGGCAGGAGGATCACAAGTTCAAGGCCGGTCTGTGCAACTTAATGCAACCCTATTTCAAAATACAAAGGACTGGGGGTATAGCTCAGTGTTAGAGCACCCCTGGGTTCAATCCCCAGTACTATAAAAAAATAATAAACTGATAATAGTTGTGTATACAAGTTTTTATCTGCATTGCAAGTATCACTAGGTAATAATTGCAAAAGGATAGTTATTCTGAATACTATTTTCCTCAGCATCAAGGATAGTTGTTAGGGACAAATAGAGAATCTATGTTTACTATGATTTTGCTGGAAAATCACAATTTTCTTTCAGTGCTTTCTCACCTATCCCTCTCAAATATTATTCTTTTTTTGTCATACTCTTTGGGAGAAGCATCACACACATATAAAAGGTGGAAAACCTTGACCTGCTTGGCATTGCTGAGGTTAAAAGGCTCACCAAAGAGAACAGATTTTCCTCTTCTCAACATTTAAACAACTCCCTTCCAAGTGTACAGTAAGTAGGAAGTGTGAAGTTTGCAGGTATTTCTAAATTATAAACTTCTTCAAGAGTTTCTTTACAGAGGATTTTCTGTAATGATGAGGCATCAACTCATCATTTCAGTGTCATCTTCACAGTCCTCATTATGGATTTTGAAAACCTTTATTAAAATCACCTGAAGGTGACTATCTGCAGTTCAAACCCTCCACCCCATCCTCTTATATACAATATAAAAACATGCCTGAGACAATTAAAACATACAAAATATGTTTGCATATTAATGCTTTGGGGACAGGATTTGGGCTTACAATCACCCAGATTCTTTCATCAGGAGGGTCTACAGATCATGGCCTGATGGATGAAGTTACCCAATGGGAACTTCAAAGGAAAAAGAAGTAGAAAAATATGTTGCTAAAATCTGACAATTAAAATATGACAATAAAATAATAAAGGATAGTAATATAAAATCATCCGATCTTCTCCCCATGCTTTTTAGGCTATGCCTTCTCTTTTCTTTCTACCTAAAATTCATAGAACATCGACACTTTTAAGATGGTCCCAGGTCCTGCAGTTCTGTTCTCCTCCAGTAGAGGGCAATGCTGCACTCAAAACAGCACCAGTTGCAAAATCACCCTGGTCAGCCTGCGTTCCTTCTCTATGATCAAGACAGATTATTTTTTAAATCATATACAAGTATTTTTTCCCTCTCTACACTCTAAGAAATTAAGAGTTGAAGAGGAAAAACAGAGAAGGCTTGAAGGATTATTCTTCTATCCGCTCTCTTCAACAAAGATATTTCATCATACATGACATGCCAGGAGGTTTGCTATCAAAGTCCCAAAGTACGAAAGGCGTCTCGTAAGTCATCCACCTCATAGAGGGGCTGCAAAGAAAGAGAAAAATGAATGTAGTGAATGGCTTCAAAACTGAGCTGGACAGGGAAGTCTTCTAAACTGCACGGCTTATCTTTTTAACATTTTGTTAGTAAATTGGAATTCTGATCAGGAGGGAAACACAGCTGAGGAATCTGAGGAGCGATTAACAGAAAGAAGACAAGTAAAGCTATGAAAGAAGGAGAAGGTAAAGGAAAGACATCTTAGCGGAGGGCTGTGAACTATGAATTAACAGAAGGGAAAACTGAATTATAGGAGAAATAAAGTTTCGTCAGATGAAAAATGAGAGTGACTTTTAAAAATATAAGAAGCTCCAGGAAAAGACTGTAGAGAGAAGAAGTGAAAAGCAAGGAAGCCACTTACCAAAAGGATGCGTCGAAGCTGTCTGGATAGCCGAACTGAATTTTCATGCAGCCCTTCCCAGGCCTTGAAAGTTCTTTCACGATTTTCTACAAAAGTATTCCAGCAGTAAAAATAATCTTAAAAAAAAAAAAAGAATGGTGGGACAGGGGGAAAAGATAGTTCAGGTCTTCAACTAGAAGTAAAGAAAACCCTGGTCCCATTTCCTCATTTACCCAGGACCTTGTCTCCAAGCCATTCACTGCTTTCCTGGAATTCTAATCAATAATTTTGACTCCCATCGTGAACCAGGAACCTTAGGCAATTCTTGCCCCTGAGTTTTCCCCACTGACTCTTCTCATTCTGAATTGCAATTTAAAATTATGTCTGCTGCACAGAGCCTGCGCAAAAGATTCCCCTTCGCACCTTTGAAGGTCATGATGCCGATTTGGACCCCAGCGCGGTGCAGCCTCCGTAGCCCCTCAGGCTCTGCCTTGTAGTCCTCGCAGAAGTAGAGGCGCGCGGTGAAGATTCTCAGACTGAGGTTGGGGTTCCCTCTCAGAAAGTCTGCCACGTGCCGGGCACAGTCGTAACAGGGGCTCCAGGAGGTGAACCAAGTGACTCGGTAGCACCGGCCAGGGTCCAAGTCCCAGTCCGAGATGTAGCGGAGGAAGAGCAATTCCACGTGGCAACCTGACTGGGGAGAGAGCAGAGAACTCAGTTCACTGACCTTTGTTGTGGTTGTGGTAACTTCACAGATATTCTCTCCCACCATGAGCTTTTAGAATGCTGACAGTTACTGTCTTTTGTGTTACACAGAGGTCAAGCAAGAGCTCATTAGTAAGAGATGAACCAAAACCTTTGTGTGTATGTAACACTGGTCTTACCCAGTGAAGGAAGGCTAAGGATTTTTTTTTTTCTTTTTTGGGGGGTGTGCGGGGAGAAGGATGAAATGAGTTAAGTAGAGAATGGTAGAAATAGCATCATACTACCCGTACAGAGATTGAATTTGTGCTTTGAAGTTATTTTTGCACATTTTAAGAAGGAAAAATGTCTTGGAAGTTTCTGTTGATGAAACATTGTGGAACTACACGTGGACCCCTAGGTGGAGCTAGGACAATTTGTGAGATTGCTTGGGAGGATGCAAAGAGTGAAAATAGATTATGGTGAATCAGACAGGTGGGTGTTGTAGAAGTAATAGGCACTAGTATGGGCCAAGAGCAATTAAATAATGTGTTCTCTCATTGTATAGTCTCAGTGATTGTAATAATAACTGCAATAGTGAGGTATAACAGGCCAAACTCTTATTGCAGAAGTCATTAATCCCAGAATATGAAGACAGGTTTCATTTTCTAGCTTCACTTTTGAGACTTAAACAAATTACTCAACTCTTGGTTCTTACATTTCCTCATCAGAAAAATGAGCTGGTATTGTGAGCATTAAATGTGAAAGTGCTGATAAAATGAAGGTTTCTATAAATAGAATGTGTCACATTACAAAATAAGAAAATGACTTGAATATAAAGTCATGATGGTAATAAAGATTGGCAAACAAATAAAAGCAATGAAAATAGCATGACATTCCACACCATAGATTCTTCCCTGGGATTCTACCAAGACTAGATGTCACAGAATGTTAGGAGAGGAGATATTCACAGGCAGAAGCTTATGTAAGACCATTTGATTTTGATGAAGAAGTCTTTTTAAACTCCCTGCCCCACTGTACAGGAGATTAAACTCAGTATTACTCAACATCCCCAAACCTTTGAAAATTAAAAAAAAATTTTTTTTTGAGATAGGGTCCCTCTAAGATGTGGAGGCTATCCTCAAACTTTCCATCCCCTGCTTCATTCAGCCACCCAAGTTACTAGTTGGTGAAGAAATCTTCTGGAAATGTAATCCTGTCAGGCAGCTGAAAGTTTGATTTAATTAACCCATCAATGGAGGCTTCTCTGAGTTTTCTGAGGCTCACCATAGTAAATGTATTTTCTGGTCTACAATCTACATGAATAGGAGGAAATAGAAATCATTGGGAAAAGAGAATTGAGCTGCTATAATTTCACCTATATTTTTCATCTTTATAAATTTTCAAAAATTTTAAAGACACAATTTTTTTTTTCATTTAAAATTTTGCTTGAGCTGGGTGTGGTGGCATATGCCTGTTTTAGTCTCAGGTACTTGGGAATCTGAGGCAGGAGAATCACTTAAGTCTACAAGTTCAAGAACAGCCTGGGCAACATGAAGAGACTCCATCTCAGGAAAAGAAAAAAAAAGTTGGAATTTAGTTTGAGGGACTGGGCACATGACTGGGGTACAGCACTTGACTAGAATGCTAAAAGGCCTGAGTTTGACCCTCAGTACCACAATAAATAAATAAAATGAGCCAGTAATATTTCCTCATATCAAAATCCTCTTACCTTAATCTCAGGGCAATTCAGAGGCTGGGGATATAGCTCAGTTGGTAGAGTGCTTGCCTCACATGCACAAGGCCGTGGGTTCAATCCCCAGCACTGCGCACATGGAAAAAAAAAAAAAGGCTGGAAAAGGGGAGGAAAGTTTGGGATCAAGTATGGCATTAGGGTACCAGGCATGATTGAAAAGGACATTAAATGACCTTTCAGGCCATGTCTAATATGGGTGCATGGGGAGGGGGGAAAGAAGATTTGAAGAAGTTAGTGAAGAAACGCAAAAAACAAACAAACAAACAAAAAACCGGTGGGCTAGGTTCAGTGGCCCATGCCTGTAATTCCAGAGACTCTGGAGGTTAGGCAGGAGGATGGCAACTTCAAGGCAAGCCTCAGCAACTTAGATAAGCCTTAAGCAACTTAGGGAGACCCTGTCTTAAAATAAAAAATAAAAAGGGATGTGGCTCAGTGGTAAAGTACCTCTGGGTTCAATCCCCAGTACTGCAACCCTGCAGTCCCCCCACCCTCCAAACAAACAAACAAACAAACCTGGACCCTCAGCAGATAACTAAAAGCATCTATTGTTTAGCTTTCAACTGCTGGGAAAGAAAACTTTAATTGATACCTTGTTTCGAAGGTGGCCAAAGTCCAGGGAAAAGGAGGTGGCACTATCCCGACGCTTCACCACATAACACAGGTAGGTCTCATGCCGACCCTTAGCCCAGCGAACATTTTTGAAATGGTAAAGAAACTTCTTCCGATTCATCAGAAGGCTGTGGGTGAGAGGAAGGAGAAGGAAATCAGGAACACAGTTCACTCTCTGGTCACTTTGGGTTTTCCTTCATATGAGGATGATGATGATGATAGGTGCTGGGGGTGGAACAAACCCAGTACCTCTTGCTTGCTAGGCTCTACAACTGAGCTACATCCCCAGTCCTGTTATTATTACTTTAAAAATTTATAATTACTTGGAAACATCTCTCCCTTCATTTGCTGGATGCCTGAGACCTACTGAGCTTGGAATCCTGCTTAAACATCTTTTCGTGCATAAAATTAAGAGAAACTGAGAGAAACTTGGCAAGAACCCTAAACTCATTTGAGTTCAATAGACAGTCTCCTCCCCTGGCTGTCTACTAGATGTTGATGACTTAATATTACAAACTTGTTCTTCAGTCTCATAATTATTTTTTTAGGTTTCCCTCCATTTTCTACTTAAATCTCCAATATGTACCTTAAACTCAACATGGCCAACAGGATCCCTAAAATGTCCACTGTCCTGAACTGTTACTCCCCCTGACTTTACCATGTCAGGTAACCAGACTGGAAACTTGGAATCATCCCTGATTATTTCTTCTTCCTTATTCCTCATGTAATTAATCATTTAAATTTGTTGATTCTGTTGGGTCTCAGAAAAGATACTTTGCCCTGCTGAGAACTTTGAATTACAGGAGCGTGAGAAATCTCAGATACAGCCTCCGAAGCCAAGTGTCTGACCTTCTGCCTTCCTGTCTCCTGTCTAGCGAATGTTAGAAACCAGAATTCCTCTCCCTCAAGAAGGATCATAGAAGCTAAATCCCCCTCTCCCCCAAAGCATGCCATAAAATCTGGAAAGGCCTCTCTCTCCCTTCTCTATTAAAGACTCTCCTTGCACAGGTGTCCTACCCTATACCCAGGAGAAGGAATGCTGCATGGACAGGCCACGTAGAATCTGAAGAGACCTCGCTGAGTTTCCTCCCTTACTGAATTACCATTAAATCAGATCCCTTTGTCTAGTCACATTTCCATGTGCTTCCTGTTCTTCATTTGAATCTAAACATAAAAACAGTTTTCCATGGGTTTGGGGGTCTTTAATTAAATAAACTTGTTATGCTTTTCTTTCTTTCCTCCTCCTCTTCTTTTTTTTTCTGTTCCTCCCTTCCTCCTTCCTTCCTTTTTTTTAATACCTTTTTAGTTGCAGATGGACACAATACCTTCATTCATTTGTTTTTATTTTTATGTGGTGCTGGGGAATGAACCCAGTGCTAGGCAAGTGCTCCACCACTGAGCGACAATCCCAGCCCTCCTTCTTTTCTTCCTGCCTTGCTGGGGATGGAACCACTGGTCTCATACACAGTAGCCAAGAGCTTTGCCTCTGAGCTATATCTCAGCTATATCTCAGTTCTTCTGCTGCTTTTATAACTTGGCAATATAATCTTCATATTTAGCTAGGTGCTCTCTCTCTCTCTCTCTCTCTCTCTCTCTCTCTCTCTCTCTCACACACACACACACACACACACACACACACACACGGACTGACTGTCCCTCCTCTTTGTTTCCTAGCTCTAAATGCAGTATCTTGCATAGTAAATTGAATTTGTTGAGACACTCTTTGGTAACTCAAGTTTCTTTAAGGAAATTTAGAATCCTTTTTAAAGCTGGGAACATAGTAGCACAAGCTATGTGGCAAGGTTGCTACTAAAACAAGAGTGCTATCTCTGGTTTTTGTGGGTCCTTTTTTCCAGAAATATATTTTTCCAACTTGTGGAGATAGTGCTGCTACCTAATGGTACTGGGTAGAAGAGCAAAGAACTTATAAAGGCCTGGTGAGGAATTTGAATACAGTTTGCTGGCACGAGAATTGAAACTTTTTTGCACTTTTTTTTTTTTTTTACATTGAGGCATAATTTACATACAGTAAATTTTGCCCACAATTCTGTGAATATTGGCAGATGTAAACACCCCACACTGCTACCACAGTCAGGTTACAGATCATTTCCCAGGTAACTCGCACAAAGTTTCTTTACCCCCCTTTGCGATCAGTTCTCTCCACTAGGCAACCACTGACTTGCTTTCTGTAACTATACATTTTCTATCATTTCATGTAAACCATACATCATCTCTTTTGGTCTTATTTCATTTAGCATAATGACTTTGAGACTCATCCATGTTTCATAGTTTGTTCCTTTTTTCTGCAGAGTGGTATTCTATTGCGTGAGTATAGCATGTTTTGTTTTCTCATTCACCTGTTGATGGATATTTGGATTGTGCACACTTTGGTGCAACTGTAAGTAAAGGTACTATGAACATTCATGTGCTGGTCTTTGTATGGACATAAAATGAGAATTGATAATTTAATAATGTATTATAGGTGATAGACCTGGCCTTAAAAATTAACTGCCCCAATGTCAACTTTATCAGATAGAAAATCTAGGACAACAGCCGATTATAGCTGTTTCAATTTTGTTTTATTTTGGTACCAGAGATTGAACCCAGGGGTGCTTTACAGAACCACATCCACAGCCTTTTTATTTTTTTGTTTTGAAACAGGGTCTTGTTTAGTTGCTTAGGGCCTCACTAAATTGTTGAGCCTGGCCTCGAACTTGTGATTCTCTTGCCTCAGCCTCCTAAATGTCTAGGATTACAGGCATGCTCTACCTTGCTCAGCTAGCTCTTTCAATTTAAATGTCTCCATTTACACACATAAAAGTTATTAAAAAAAAAAATTTTAAACCTTTAGGAAGAGAACTAGATTTATCAACAGTATAAACATTGTATGTATCAAACAATATAAAAAGTAGTCAACTGTATTCATTTATTTAGTACTGGGGATTGAACCCAAGGGTGCTTACCCACTGAACCACATCTCCAGCCCTTTTTAATATTTTATTTAGAGACAGAGTCTTGCTAAATTGCTAAGAGCTTCACTAATCTGTTGAGGCTGGCTTCGAACTTGCAATCCTTCTGCCTCAGAAGGCCCGAGTTGCTGGGATTAGAGGCATGTGCCACCTTGCCCAGCTGGTTTTTTTTTTTTTTTGTACCAGGGATTGAATTTAGGGGCACTCAACCACTGAGCCACATCTCCATCCCTATTTTGTATTTTATTTAGAGACAGGGTCTCATTGAGTTGCTTAGCGCCTCACTGTTGCTGAGGTTGGCTTTGAACTCACGATACTCCTGTCTCAGCCTCCCGTGTTGCTGGGATTACAGGCTGTGTTTTGTTTTTAAGTAAATTATGCAATTAGGTACCAGTGGTAAAGCTCAATGGTAGAGTTTTTTGTTTTGTTATGTTTTGTTTTTTTGCTTTTTGGTACCAGAGATAGAACCCAGGACACTTAACCATTGAGCCACATCCCCAGCCCTTTTTATATTTTATTTTGAGACAAAGTCTTACTAAGTTGCTTAGGGCCTCCCTAAACTGCTGAGGCTAGCTTAAAACTTGTGATCCTCCTGCCTCAGCCTCTTGAGCCCCTGAGTTTGCAGAAATGTGTCACCATACCTGACAAATAGTAGAGATTGTGGCACTGAGTTCAATGCCCAGCACCAAACAAAAATTAAAAATGCATAATTGATAAGAATCTAAAATGGATACAAAGCCTCAGCAACAATCAGCTTTATTTTAAAATAGTAATAATGTATTATGGTAGTCACTATAGCATCACCACTATTTCTATGACTACTTAATTAATTAGCATATAATAACCATCAGCATGTGTAATCTCAACACATAATAAGCACTTAATATATATAGAAGAGAAAGAAAAAAAAGTTTTGGAGCCCAAATAGATGTTGTTATTGTTGTTGTCTGTGATACTGAGGACTGAATCCAAGGGTGCTCTACCCTAAGCTTTGCTTATTTTTAATTTTTGGATAGGGTCTCCCTATATTGCTTGGACTCTCCTTGAACTTGAGATCCTCCTGCATAAGACTTCTGAGTCACTGGAATTATAGTAACACAACACTGCACCCTGCTGAGTCAACAGATTGAACATCATCTCGTACCAATATCCCTTTTATATTCAACCTTTGGGGCTGTATAGATAAGAAAAGTGAGGAACCTTTTACCTTTTTTCCCCTCTTCCATGCTGGGGATCTAAGCTGAGAGGACATCCATCATACCTTTGAGGCAAGCACTTGACCACTGTACACCACCATCCCTGGAAATCTTTTTTCATGCACCACAGGTGGTATGTGTATGCATATGCCTGTGAGCTCATGAATATGTGTGTGTGTGTGTGTATGTGTGTGTTAGGGCAGGTTCGGTTATCATGATGAAGGAGAAATGTCCCAGGAATATAGAAAAGAAGGATATGGAATAGTAAAGGAATTCAGAGTGTTTTTGTGTCCTATCTCATGTGAAATGGCAGTTGGCCTTTACTATTTCAGTCAAAAGTTGTGCACTGGAATGAAATGATTTGCTGGAGCCTGATCTGTTATGAACTTTCTTGATCCATTTCTTCCCTAGCTTGGAACCTTTTTCCAGGACCTGTTCTTCTATGGTGTGTCTCCTAGGTAGGAAGGACTTTGCAGAGGAAATTTTTTTCAGGCCCCCAGGTTGACAGCTGTTTGGACAGCTGTGTTCCCTGAGGCAGAACATGAGCTGCATCCCCAGCAATGCAAACCAGAAAGAAATGGGTTAAAAATAATCCTGACATAGTCATCTTCTGCTATCACCAGTGAACTCTACACATAGGACCTTCGTGAATGCTAATTATGTATTGTCCTTTTGTCCTGTTGAATTTTGTCTTTCTCTATCCTTATTTGTCTTTCTCTGAATTTCAATAACTGACTTTTCCTTTGCTTTGCCTTTGCTTATGTTCAAAGATTTCCACTGGACCCTTAACCAGGATTTATACCTCAGATTAGTATTCACACTCTCACTGCAAACTGAGGAGACAGTTGATATTATTTTTTTCTCAAGAAAATGTTCTAAAGAGGATTTAATGTACCATTAAAAATCTTATTTTTGTTTATTTGCTTTTGCAGGACTAGCAAGCACTCTACCACTGAGCTACACCCCCAGCACTACCATTGAAATTCTTAATCATGGAGTATAAATTATTTGTGAAAGAATTATATTGAGATAATATATGTAAATTAGGTATGATTTCCCTATATTCCTAGTAATCATCATGATAAGAATGGAACCACCATATAAAACTATAATGCACTAATAAAAATATGGAAAAAATTAGAATGGAATAAGCTCTATAATAATAACTTACCATAAAATGCATGTTGAGACACTGAAAACTTTACAGAATCCACATTTAAGAAGTAAGTTAGACCATATTTGAAAAAATGTAAAGATTAGTCAAATAGTAAACATGCCACTAACTGGCCAGTACTTGGACCTATAACATAAAATAACTTGCTTAAATTAATTTTTATCTTTATAACAACCTTAATGACTTTCAAGCAATTAATCTTGAATGTTTTATATTTTTTTAAAGTACAAATTTTCTTGCCACAGCTAAATTATTTCAGTAGTCTCCCTAGGACAGTTTTTCTTAAAACAGTTTTAATATTGAATATTTACAGATTTATCATAAAAAATTACCACTACTATTTTTAGTATAGTATTGCTATGACCTTTTTATGATTCGAATCTCTAAAGATTGCTCTGTTAATATTTCTGTCATAAACTAGTTCTGGTTGTGGCAAATCCCAGGACAGATCAGTACATTGTGCATATTTTTTTGTGTGTGTGTGTGTACAACATGAAAAAGAGAGGGATGGAGACAAGTGCAGAACAGAGAAAGTTAGGCTGAGAACATGCAAGTCCTGATCAGAAGATGAGTCAGATTCAGAATAAAAAAGGGCACATTGACCAAACAGATCTTGCAAGTGAGAAAGGGATAGCTACTGACCTCACTATTCAGATTTACTCGAAGAAACCCCAAAAGGAGATTGCCTCTTTACCTGTCCATAGTGGATTCCAGTGTGTCTTTCTTGATTCTGAAAGTCTTAGGCCAAGAAAATCTTGCCTCAAGCAATGATGCTTCACTGCCTCTGTCTGACAAAAAATTGGCCCCTCACATTCAAATTTGAACTTGCCCTTGGAGACTCCTCCCCCCATAGCATCACCACCACCAGGTACCCCAATAGCCTTCTTCCTAATTTGGGTCCCGTGAAGATGGGTGGGGTTGTCATAGGCAGAGTCATAGGGGTTAAATGATTAAAGGCAGCTTTACTGAATGTTTCCTTTAGGGCTGCCTCTAAGAAACCAAGAAGTCCATGCTTCATAGGTAACAAAGATCAGGAGACAGTAATAGTATACACTTCTTAAGTTAGAATCATGGTAATAATATCTCCCTCACCACCTCTTTCTTTTCTTCTTCTTTTTTTTAAATTGGGATTGAACCCAGAGTGCTCTAACCACTGAGAAACATCTCCAGCCCTTTTATTTTAAGATAGGTTCTTGCTAAGTTACCCAGGCTGGCCCAAGCTTGCAATCTTTTTGCTTCAGCCTCTGATTACAGACATTTGCCACCATGCCTGGCTGTTGTAGTTTGTATGTTTGTGTGTGTGTGTGTGTGTGTGTGTGTGTATGTGGTGTGTGTGTTGATGGAGATCGAATCCAAGACCTCATGTGTGATAGGCAAAGGCTCTGCCACTGAGCTACTCCCAGCCCAATAAACATTATCTTTAATTTTAAAACTATAATTATAATGATAACATTCATATTCACTTAAATGGCATTAATTAGCTTTTACGTGGCATCTTGTGTTTTGTGAGCTAAAAGCATCACAATTAAATTATACAATGTCCTTGGACCTCAACAGAGACAGGCACAAACAGCCCTGATTTGTGGCTAAGCAAGTGAACTCAGTAATATAGGATTTATAACACAGAAATTTTACCTTCCAAACCACTGATGTTTTTCTTTTTTGATTGCATACAAGAATTGCTGGTATTTATAGCAAAGACTAATTTTTGAATGAGCCATTAAAAAAAAAAGAAAAGGAAAAACTTTTAATTTTGAGTCAGAAGTAGCAACACCCGCTGGGCACAGTGATGCATGCCTGCAATCCCAGTGGCCTGGGAAGCTGAGGCAGGAGTATCACAAGTTCAAAGCCAGCCTCAGCAAAAGTGAGGTGCTAAGCAACTCAGTGAGACCCTGTCTCTAAATAAAACACAAAATAGGGATGGGGATGTGGCTCAGTAGTTGAGTGCCCCTGAGTTCAATCCCTAGTACCAAAAAAAAAAAAAGTAACAACACCCCCAAATATCAAACTGCTTATTTCACCAGATAGAATCAGTGCTTAATTGGCTATATTGAACTTGGGAAACAGGCTGAGCTTTTCAAATAAGAGGCTTTAAGTTCCTGCCCTTTTACAACTTGGTCTATTAAAGATTTTATTTCTCACTCCCAGTGCATATATATTTTATTTATCCATCATGAGGATAATTTAATACCTACTATAAGATAGAAACTGTGAAAGGTGCTGGGAATCCAACAGAGAGCAACTTCTTGCTTCTAGACTTTAAATACCACCTATAAGTTGATGATTCCCAAATTAATAAGAAATAGCTCTAGCTTAGACATCTGCCTTGGACTTGAACTTCCCTCTCAGCATCTTCTTTTGGACACATACCTAAAACTAGCCCCTCTTCTCTCTCCCAACACAGATTCTGTCCTCCTGCTGTCTTCCCCACCTCAGTTATTGGCAATGTCTTTCTTCCAGTTGCTCAGGCCATGAACTTGGGAGTCACTCTTGATTCTTCTTTCTTTTAAATTCTATGAGCAGTCCGTTAGCAAATCCTGTTAACTTTATTTGGAGAATATCCAGGAACCACCCCCTTCTCCCCTCCTCCGTGTCCAAGTGAGCCAGATGATTACATTTGACTCCCCACTGGCCTTCCTGCCTCCACCTTTCTTCAGTCACAGTGTATTCTCCATGCACCAACCAGAGTACTCCTTTGAAACATTTAGATCAAGTCATTTCTCTGTAAAACTTTCCATGGCTTCCCATTCTCTGGCTGTAAGTCCACATCTTTACAATGGCTCTTAAGACCCTCTATCACCTGACCTCTCAGACCTCAATCTCTTCCACTCTCTCCCTTGCACATACATAGAGCACACACCCCTGCCCCTGAACTCCTGGCACCTCCACCTGGAGTACTCTCCTCTGTATATTGTTACAGCTTAATTTCTTATTTGTTTTATGTCTGATAGTTGAGACTTCCTCAACACTATATCTAAAAATCAATGGAATTCCCATTCCCTACTTCCTTTCCCCCATTATGTAATTTTTATTCTCAGCACTTATCACTTGAAAGACACTCTTTATTTTATTTCTCAGTATGAATTATTATTTCTGAAAAAAATTCTTCAGGGCACCAGCAAGATGATAGGCAGTAGTTGTCTTAGTTGTCCTTGGACATGCTAAGTGTCACCGAACAGTAGAATGGGGGAAGCAGGGGAAGAGATCTTCCAAATTCCTCTGCAGCATCCACCATGGGAGGTGGTTATTTGAAATAGGATCCCTTCAAATTTCTCTTTAGATGTAACTTGTGCTTTCACCATATTTTCATCCAATTTTCCAGAGAATAACGTATGTATGCAAACATAAACAGAGCAGTCACATAATCCTCCCGAAGGACCAACATTAATTCTCAGAAATGGTGCCATCTTTAAATCCCCCCCAAATGGAAGCAAGCTGGGTGTGGTGGCATGTGCCTGTAATTCAGAGACTGGGGAGGCTGAGGCAGGAGGATCAGAAGTTTAAGGCCAGTCTGGGCAACTTAGCAAGACCCTGTCCCAAAATAAAAATTAAAAGGGGCTGGGGATGTAGTTCAGTGGTAGAGCACCCCTGGGTTCAATCCCCAGCACCACAAAAAACTCAATCAATTGATCAGTGAATAAATAACTTAGTAAAATGGAAGAGAAAAAATTTTCCCAGTGCCCCAATGTGAGGCTCCCTCCTGACACTGTATCTTCTTATTCTCGTGATTATACAAAATTGTATTAATATCCTTTGTTTATGCTCTCTTTTCAAATTATGCCCTTTTTGGATCTGGTGAAAATGAGAAAACTGGCCCATTGCTAATTCACATACTTTTTGTTTGCTTGCTTGCTTTCAGTTGTTTTTTGTTTGTTTGGGGTTTTTTGTTGTTTTATTTTGGGGGGGTTGTTTTTTGCATTTCTAACCATTTTTAAGTGTACAACTCAGTGGCATTAATTACATTCCCAATGTTTTACCCATCATAATTATGTTCCCAAAACACCACTGGGAACTGAACCCAGGGGCACTTTATCACTAAGCTACATCTCTAGTCTTTTTATTTTTTATTTTGAGACAGAGTCTCACTAAGTTGCTGAGGCTAGCCTTAAACTTGCAGTTCTCCTGCTTCAGTCTCCCAAATATCTGAGCTTACAAGTGTGTACCACCATGCCCAGCTTTGTTTCCAAAATTTGATCACACCAAAAAAAGAAATACCATAGGAATAATGTAGAAACTCACAATTCCCTCTTCTTCCCAGCCTCTAGTAGCCTCTAATCTACTTTTTGTCTCTATTAATTTACCTATTCAAGATATTTCAAAAAAGCAGAATCATATAATACTTGTCCTTTTGTGTCTGGCTTATTTCATTTTGCATAATGTTTTTAAGATTTTTCCGTGTTATACTATATATCAGCGCTTCATTCCTTTTTATGGTTGGTAACATTCCATTGTGTACATACACTACATTTTGTTTATCCATTTAATATATATATACGTTTGCAATGTTGGGAATTGAATTCAGAGGTGCTTTACCACTGAACTATAGCCCCAGCCCTTCCTTTTAATTTTATTTTTGAAACAATAAGGCTGACATTGAACTTGTGATCCTCCAGCTTATGCCTCCCAAAAGCTAAGATTACAGGTGTGTGCTACCACACCTGGCAAAAATGATATTACTTAATGTGTATAATATAAGGCTCTGATATACATAATGAAATGATTACTGTGGTCAAGCTAATTAGCACACCCTTTGCCTCACATAGTGACCTTTCTTTGTGTGTACAATAAGAAAACCTGAAATTTACTTTTAGCAAGTTTGCAGTATACACTAATTTTCCAGCTAATAATATGGTATTATTAACTATAGTTTTGATGTTACACAATAGATTTCTAGATTTAGTTATCCTATATAACTGCAACTGTAAACCCTCTAACCAACATCTCCCCGTTTCTCTACCTCCCACCCCTGGCAACCACCATTGTATTTTCTGTTTCTATGTAACCAATGTTTTTCAGTTTCTACATATAAATGAGATTATACAGTATTTTAATTTCTGGCTTATTTCACTTAGCACCATGTCCTACAGTTTCATCTATTGTCATAAATGGCAGAATCGCCTTTTTAAAGGGCTGAATAATATTATATATGTGTATATCACAGCAGGCTGCCAAATATTGTCTATTTGTGCTGCAATGAACATGGGAGTGCAGATATCTCTTTGATGTGCTTATTTCATTTCCTTTGGTAATATACACAGAAGAAAGATTGCTAGGTCATATGATAATTTTAATTTTAGTGTGTTTTGGGGGGGATGTGGAGGGACCACCATACTGTCTTTTGTGTCTATTCTAATTTTCTTTCTCACCAACTGTGTGCAAGGGTTCCTTTTCTTCACATCCTTTCAAATACTTGTTTTCTTTTGTCTTGTTGATGATATTCTAACGTGTATGAGATTCTGAGATAGGAAAACAATTTAATGTAAAACCAAAAACATATAATAGGAAATTCAGTCAACTATTTTTCCTTCTATAATTCACACACCAATCAATGTACCTCTTCTAACACCAAATGTGTGTGGGTTTTCCCCACACACCAAGCTATTTTCTGGTGGACATCAACTGTGTATCATAATTTAGCTCAATTCTGACCCTATCTACCTTCGAGAGTGTCAGATACTGCAGGGTGAGAGCTCAGTCCCACAGGATGGCACTCCACTTCGGATGCCATTCTAAAGTCCCAGGTTGTGACCTGTACTTCTTACTAATTGGCGTTCCCACA